TTTATTGTGTTCTTGTGCAAGTTTAGTGCTGGAATATCTGTAAAATCACAATGTCTCAAACGTAGAGGAAAGAAAAACCAAAATTATAGTTCACTGAGATATTAGCACTAAAATATAATTAATCGATTTTCGATTCACAGAAAAAAAGTCGTCACCAGATACACAGTAACAACGCCATCACGAGATTCACTTAAATGTTTCATTTTTGCTGTAAAATTGAAGATGTATAAAAACTAGAATATAATTTACTAAATAATAATAATATTTACTAAATAATTATAAAACTTTATCCACCCATTAATTTCTGTATATGGTAAAAAAAATTTAAATCAAAATGACTTCTTCCAAATAACCGATGCCAGATCGGATATTTATTAGACGTCTTTTTAGTAGCTGTTTGCGAAAACTTACTTTGCCAAACTTACTACTTACTTAAGAAGAATTTTAGCAAAAGATTGTTGAGTTTGGTTAATTAAATCACATATTTCAAAGAATTTTTTATTTAGTTTGGAGTTAAATCTAATTTGTGGAAAGTGAAGTAAAACGAAGTGAAATGAAGTAACGAAATGAAGGCTTCTAAAGTGAAGTGAAAAACTTCAATTGAAGTAACAGCGGCAGCACTGGCAGTGCAATACTAATTAGGGGGATAAAATTTACTCAGAGAGTCAAGTCATGTCTAGCTGGTGCACTCGGTACGCAGCAAACGCCTCGGTGAGCTGCAATTTAGCCCAATCTAACCTAATCAAACCTACAATTATATCACATGCTGATTTTTGATTGACCAAAAAACTGAGTCATGTCAATATTGTGCTCGTGAACTTGAGCGTGTGAATATTGGATGAATTATGGATCAATTTGGTTTATACTACGTCTAGAATCTTTCACAAAATACACCTAAACAGGTTCTTGTTACATATGCACATGTTGAACAAACTAGTCGATCTGAGAATCTGCCTTCATGAGAACACAACAGAAGACCTCGAAACTCATGCAGTCACAATATGGCGATGATCCTAGGCCTGGTCTTTGTGGCCTTATCACCGCCAATCTTGAGCACCTTGGAGGTCAGACTAACTGTTTCAGCTACCTCGTTGTGTTTTTCGGTTACTTGGGTGATTCACGCAGTGGCATAAATAACAGTCATATTATCGTAGAGTACTCGATTTTAAAACGATCAAAACTGTCGTGTGGTTGCTATGAACTCGCAAAACATTTATAAAAATTATGACATTATGGCAATATGATTAGTAGTATCTACTAGTTTATGACACCTTGTGAGCCACCCAACTATATTGTTACGCATACCTCGCCGAGACTAAGAGGTGGTTTGGAGTTTAGCCGACAACTCCATTATTCTATCTTTGATTACTAATTACAATTACGAAAAAAGTCTCTCTCTGACCAAAGTGAGGCAGCATATTAAAGTCCAACGAAGCTTATAACTAATAAATATTTTTACCTGCTATAAATAGTTTTTGTTTGTGGAGGGTAAGTGAATTATAACCTTAAAGCTGTTTTTCTCGGATTTAAACTCTTTTTTTTTTATGCAACAATCTCGCAGCAAACGTGCAGCGATGTCAATGTATAATTTTATGAATATCAGTAATTCAGAATCTACTTAGCAAAGCTGTAAATTCACTCAGAATATTCATACTATACTATAATTATAGCCATATGTACATACATACACATATACATATACTTAAATACACGCTCGATTATTTTGTGTGTGTTTTATGCTTGGGGTTCAATTCATTTGGCTGACGCTTTCAATTAACGCTTAATTGAAATCAATTAAAACAATTTTTTTGTATAATTGCATTATTATTACTGTTACTACTTCAATTTATATGCTTATGAATATTATACAATACAAATAAAAAAAAAAAATAAAAAATTAAATTAAAATACAAATATGCACATATGTACATACATACCTACATATATGTATCCAAGACCAAAAGCAAACGAGTTGAATGGTGGGTACAAGTGAAACTAGGCAGTCAAACAGTTGGGCCACACAAACCACCCAAGCTTTCTTGTATAAGTAAATACACCCTGCAGGGAAAACACAACCAAATTTCTAGTTCCGTACTAGATCTTTATCATCAAAAACGAAACAGTCCGATAGTCACTAGATCTCCAGCAGTCCAAAGGTAGTGAAATATGGTACGTTTAAGAACACTATTCTATTTTACTTTTTAAAACTACATATCGCTAGCTAAGAGTGAAAAGCAGCTGCTATGTCCACTTTTTCTAAAAAATTATATTTTGATGCAGGAACTATGTACCTTTTTTCTGTCTAACCATTTCTGTTCAGTGATATGCAAATTTGCTTTGGACTTAGCAAGTCCAGTCGCAGAAAATTTGATAAATCCCAAAGACTAAAAAAGAAAACTTTTCATTAGAAACCTATGCCTATCGAATTTAGAACTGGTTAGGAACTATCAAAAAAGGGAGCAGGGGAGGGAGGTTTATTTTAAATTGATATATTTGTTTGGCGGTTTTTTTACCGTTCAAATACGCTCCCATTCTGCACTTCGCAGACGCTTTTTCATAGTCTGGTAATACAAAACAAAATTTTGTGTTAATATTTTAATATCTTGGGACCTCTGCACCTCTGCATACTCAGCTACCATGGGAAAACCGAAAAGACTCTGTTTGAAAATAACATATTTCTTTTTTTTGCCAGCCGACTTTATAACTGGTTCAGAACTATAGAAAAAGGGATGTAAGTATATCCCATCTGTCTAATTTAGTACTGGTTCCGAACTATAAAAAAGGTAATGCAGCGGCGACAATTTCCACTTCCTATGACATCGCAGTGTTAAATTCGCCAGTTGTGTGCATGCATAAGAGATTTACCGCGAACCAGCAGTGGGTCTAGTTGTACTAGAAGCGGACCAGTTCAGAACTAAAGATTTTCCCACAGGGTATGTGCCTAACAATGCATGTATAATATGTATGTGTGGTTTGAGTAGATGTTGGAAAGCATAAATTAATTCATAGCTGGACTGATATATTCGCAGCTGCTGGTGAAAAAATAAATACATATATATAGCTGATCAGCAGAACATTATGACATCATATTTCTGCTACAATGCAGCTTATGTCAACTATGTGTGAATTTGTGTGTTTACATTGATATATGTACATATGTATGTATACGTACGTATGTGTGTGAAAGCCTGGTTTGTTAAAGTACAATATGTTTAAAAGTTTAATTAAATGACATGGATATCGACCATACAGCCATCAACCAATTCATTCATTCATTTAACATCATTTTTTTTTCGTCCGCGATCCCGCGCCTCTTTTGCCTAGCCAAGCATAGATAGAGCTCATAAGTGTCGAATGAATAGCAGTGTGGCGACACGCGATATTCGTACATATTACTTGGCATTATTGTTAATGTAATTTAACTTTAATTGAATGGTGTATAACATTCCACAGAGAATTAATGAATGCGACAAAATTAAGAAGAGTGAAGACAAAATTTGAATGAAATGATAAGAAAAGAAGTACACACGCTTTTCTCAAAAATGTTGAACCAAGTTGAAAAAAAAAATTATTTCATTAGCTGTTAACGCTTATTTGCATAATTTGTTTGCCTCTGATGTGACTTCGCGTATTTCCATTTTTTATTTTGTACATTTTTTATTTAACTCATATATACAATTTCAAATGTTTAATTAAAGTCAAATTGTGTTAATTAAGTGAACGCACGCAAATAAGTTGATGAATCACATTTTACTTGTACGCTGGGTGAGTGTGTTAATGAATTAAGAATATTTAAGGAAATGTAAAAGGCAGACTTTGAATAAACGTTTTACATAATTTTATTAACTTAACAAATATCTTAATACATACAAGTAACGGTTAAAGCATTTTGTTTGGCTTGGGTTGCTTCTGGATGCTGTTGTTTCAAGCTTAACCCTTTGAAGGTCAAATCGAGTATAGTAATTAATCTACCTACATATAAGGAAATTGCGCTTTCATAAATTACAATCTATGTATGTACAATTCAAAATGAATTTTGTTTCTTATGGCCCCGAAAGGGTTAAATATGTGCTTATTCTATCGCAAAGTTTTGTTGGCCTGATGACTTTCCCAAATTTTTCCTAATTTAAAATTTCTAAATTTTTAAATTCCCAAATTCTTAAAGTTAAAAACTGGTTATGACTTTTTGAAAACTGAGTTTTCTTTTAAACGCGGGATTTAAAATTGAAAATTTTACCACAATTTCCACCAACTTTCCGTCGGATAAAAATTGTGTTGTGGCAGCAGCGTACAATTTTGGCGAATGCTACTCGGGTGGTGGTAGTCCTCGGCCAGATACTCAGAACTCACCAGAGGTCAGTTCGGCAGCTCTGCAGTTAGTTAGGGAGCCTGTTTGTATTACCAGACGGGAAGACTCATAAAAGTTTCAGCAGGAGCTCCGAACCCGTCAGCAACATTAAGTTAAGATCCGATTTCTCCTTTGAATCCAACAGAATGTCGATACCCAAGTCGAGCAGACTGTACTCAGTTTGATTAAAGTTAACTCACTTTAAAAAAATTATCAAAAGTGCCTTACTAACTTGAATTCATATATCAGCGATTGTCGTTTTTTGGAAATATTTAGTCCAAATCTAGTCATCTTTTTACGACGGCAGTGTCAGCTTTCGAAAAATAACGGAATTTTAAATCATCAAATCCAATAGCTTCCATTCTTTTATTGCATTCAAATCAGTTGTGATACTAAAGAACATTAATTACATCAATCATAACCTCACTTAATTGCCTAATTTAATTGAAGATCGATCAATTAAGGATTCTGAAATTTTTTAACAAATCTAAACTTTATAGCAATTATGGTACTTTTTCAACACTTTGATTTCGTCGTATTTTTATACGCTTCCCCCATCTACTGCAATCAATTACATTTATATTTTTTAATCTCATATTTTTTATCTTTCACAAATGCACCCTCAATGTTGTTGTTTTTTTTTTCATTTCAGCAATTGCGGCTTTCGTCCCGTACTCAACGACAGCACTGCCAGCGTGGTCGCTTCTGGTGCGGGCACACAACGCACCACTGCACATCCACCACTCTTTCTGCCACCACATTTGGCCTCGCTCAGCTCACAGTTTACGCATCAGCCACTCTTTCCCGGGCTAAAAGGTAAATGCGATTAAATATTGTAAAGAAGAAGAAGAAGAAGAGCGAAACAAGTATTTTTGTTGCATGAAATATTTACTTACTTACCCATACCACAAAGCAGAGTACATCACTGTTACTCGCGCTGAGTTAAAGTTGGTAGTCAATAAGTACGAGTACATAAATCTTGTTGATGAACGACGGTTGTGATCTAACTTATCGATTATTGATGTAAAATAATGTATTTGTAGTTAACCAATTATGGGTAGAGTGGCTGGTGACGCCCCATCGCCCTCATCGTGCCTCAGTCTGGATTTCAATCTGTGACGCTGTACATCAACAGCTCGTCAAGCTTAATGACAAGCCGAGACATTCCATACTCGTACCCCCATAGACCGGCTGTCGATTTATTGATGGCTGCGGCAAAGACAGACTAATACATTTTAATAGAATTAAAGTTTGAAATAAGAGAGCCGGACAGATTTGCATTACATATGTATATGTACATATAAAGATAACTTAAAAGCAAATTTTACTCACCGCACTCATCCCTTTCCCACTCTCTTTCCAGGTGTCTCTCCATTTCCGGGTCTCTGCTCGTGCTGCTCCCTCAAACCACCACCGCCACCACCCAGCGCCTCTTCGGTGGCCGCCGCCGCTGCAGCCGCCGCAGCTGCTGCTGCCGCCTCATCCTCCTGCTCCTCCTCCTCCTCCGTCGCCGTCAGCGCCGCCAACGTGCCCATAACATCTGCCGCTCCCTCCGCCAGCAGTTCGCCTGATTCGCCACCGAACTCTATCTCTTCGATTGGTGGTAGTCAATCAGCAACGCATAACAATCACGATGCACGCTCCAGCTCGGTAGCCGAACTGCGTCGCAAGGCGCAAGAACATTCAGCCGCATTGCTGCAATCGTTGCATGCCGCCGCTGCAGCTGGACTCGCCTTTCCTGGGCTCCATTTGCCGCCGCTCTCATTTCATCATCATTCCGCTGCCGCGTTGAGTAACGCCCACGCTGCTGCTGCAGCAGCTGCCGCCAACAATAACAACAATCACAATAATAATAACAACAACAATGGCGTGCGTCTGAAAAGTGAATTGGCACAGGATATGACCGCAAGCACCATAAATGGCCTAGCAGCTGTGGCAGCGGCAAGTAATCATCACCACAGCATCGCCAGTTTGACGCTGCTCGATGCGCAGAGCGCTGCATATCATCATCATCAGCAGCAGCAACAGCAGCAGCAACAGCAACAACAACAGCAGCATCAGCAACATCAAATGTCACAAGCTGTGTTGCATCTACAGCAGCAGCAACAACAACAACAACAGCAGCAGCAACAACAAAATCAACTATCGCCACCCATAACGCCGACGCATACGCCCACCAACCATCGCCAAGATACGCCGCCAAAGTGTGCGAATGGTGGAGGTGCAGCAACAATTGCTAGTAGCATCATCACGAAGAGCGAATAATAAAGAGAGGAGGAGACATGAGCGTGAAGAGAGTGACTCAAAGATGATGAGCCAAGAATAGAGTAGATACATTTGGAATAATTTGTAAAATATCTGAGCTGATCTGCGTGCTATGCCAATGCATAAGGTTTGATTTGTTTTAATTAAGGTAATTAGTACAGTAGCCTCCGGCTAATTGGGCATGATGAATTGTACAGTTTGGTTAAAGCTTAACGAGGAACCCAATTTACAGGATTCCGTCAAAAGGAAGTCCAATTTTTTGAATGAGTTATTGGTTGACAAAGAGGCAAAATCATGCAAGCGGGAGTCAACTAGCAGAGGCATACTGTACTAAATACTTATAAATACATTAGTAGTGTAAAAAGTAGTTCAGTTTTACATTAGAAATAGAAAGAATGTTAAGGAAGTAGTATTTAAAAGTAAGTAAATATTAAGCACCTAAGCAAAAAAATTAAAAATTAGAATTAATTTCACCGCAATTTATTTAAACGCTTTTTCAATAGTAAAAAATTTAATTTTTCGCCGATTATTCCTGCTTTCTGCCTGCACCCTGATGAACCGCTGCACCAGCATTGTACAAATTTAATTTATCTCGCATCGACGCAGAGCAAATAGCATCCTCACCAAGTTGAAACTCGTTGTACATGTGGTTAGGACTGGGCACTCTAGGCGATAGTTAGATAAGATCAATCACTTCCTATCATCTGGGCGTAAAAAATGTTGGCTTAGTACCCACAATCAATATAAATACTTAGCCATCTTGACAGAATACACTCCCATAGCCGGTATCCTCTCGCGTAGCATTAGCTGCTGCCCCAGATTTTTTGCTGGATCAATCCGAATTTTCTCACAGTATTCCACAAGACTGGCCGCCTTCCTCGGAGGTGGTGACAACAAAGAGTCGTATGGAAATGCGCGGAGGCAACAATGAAGTGTTGCCATCCATTTTGCCCTTGATGCTCAACCTCGCTGTTTTCAAGTTCTGTCAGCAGAACTGTCGAAATTTGGCCCCAGTGAACTGAGGAAACACTACTTGTAAGACCTACTCTCGGTCTGACCGAGTTTTTCCCACGTAAACCACACAGTCCACAGGTTTTTGGTTCGAACACCTAGGGCTCCTGAGCGCTGCAAATTTATCTGAGTAACCGTCACTGGACGCTACCATGAATCTCCTTGATCACTCATTTGCGATGAGGCGCTCGCAAAATAGAGACTCCGGCGATTCCGTTCTCTAATACTTTTCCTTTGTAGTTTCGGATACTCATCTTCCATAGAACAGTTTGTATTACATCCAGCCACGGATTTTTGGAGCCACGTATTTTATGTAAGTGTACCATCTATGAGATTCCAATACAAATCAAGGGTAAGGCGGTGGAGATAGGCGAGAAGTGACCCGCCAACTCATCGTCTTTAAGGCAGGAAGATGAAATAAGGTTGTCAAGTATGTCAAACGTAGTCAGATGTGTTTGTCTGGAAAAGTAACCCGTCAACAGTACCACAAGTTGTCTGTAGTCACATTTGCTCAATGCAAGCAAATACCTAGTTGGACCTTCTGAGATAGAAGGCAACCTGAAGTTTTCCCACCAACATCAGTCCCTCAATGTCTCCCAGTAATTTCTGAGTGGGGTACTTACCAGGTTTTTGTTGTTTCCTACCATGGCCGGAAGTGAGAATGGAATACCTGAGTGGATCACCCTTATAGTGATTTCGTTTCTACCAAAAAAATTTCGCCTTTTGATTGCCCCTTTCACTTTTCGTGTTCGTTTCTAAATTAAAGGCAAAAGGTGAGAAAATTGTGTGTTCGTTTCTTAATATGTCACACTCGTGTAATGCAAAAAAGGCTCATTTTCTGCCCTGTGAAGCTTTGTCAGGGTAGATGGTTGCCCTTAAAATGAGATGGTTGTTTAAAACAACAGCATTACGAAATGTCTGAGCTAGACGAGGGCATGAAGGCCAAAAAATGCTTTCTTACAGGGTTGGGTGTATGTAATATCAAACACATTTAGCAACGAAATCACCATTAGATATTAACTCCAGATCCTTATCGAGAGTCATTTTCAAAGCCATAGGTTAAGATTCAACAAAGTGTAATCACTTCCCCAGTGCTGGATTAAAACCGGCATTTCGGCTCAGGGAATTAACGGTTGAACTGTCTCTTCAGAAGTGGTAATGCGGACGTCCTATTATGGGGCATTGAAAAGCCACTTGTGCCTAGCTCGCTGCCACCAGCAATCTTCGCCTCGTTTCACTCAGTAATACGCAGGCATTTCTTTTAAGTCCACCCCAAGTATAAAGGCATTACGTGATGGTAAGTCTAAGCAGATTTCACACCCTATTTATTGACAGTCTGCTCCGCCATACCACACCCGGAAATCGACTTACATAAAAATAACTTTAATAATAAAGAAACCCCGGTGTTCTACATATATTTAAGCCCCGCTGACCTTACTCAAAGCCCAGGAAGTAAATAGTTAGTCAAGACGTGGCTGCTCTTAAATGAATATTTATAATGCCGTGCAGTCTCCTTGACTTAATGGCTTGAATGAATTTATACCCTGGACGAGACCTTGGCTATCCAATAGGTCACTCAACGCGGTGTGTCACCCTAAAGCTTCTCACGCTTCCGGATTATTAGCGAATGGGGAATGAAGAGAATGAAGAAGTAATCGACTCCTCGCTGGTTCTAGTGCAGTTTTTTCACATTTTCGTTCAAATAGCGAACAAAACTTCTCGAAAAACTCCTCTAAATCTTTTTTTGCTTCCGCATTTGTTATCATCTTTGGACTATACTCCTTTTGGAATTATTTCGACTACGATATTGTTTTTGCTTTCGTTTTTTTCTATAAACTTTTCTCTTTTCTATTAGCAAAACTAATTCAACGAACAAGTCAAGTTACGCGGTACTGAATTGAAAACACCAACAGAGCAATGCTAAAAACCATTAATCTTAAATTCAAAACACGTTTTCACAATGCTAACAATGGATTGCATATAAATGAACGAAGAAATAATTGTAAGCATAAAATATGTAATTAATTACAGGCAATAATGTAAATAATTATTACTGATTTAAAAATTTAAAAAAGCGATACAATAAAAAAGCGGAATCGGCACGAATAAGTGGTATATTGCAAGCTTTTCTTAAGCTTTTATTAAGCTTCACCTGTAAGCTTCACCTGAGTTAGAGACTTGAAACTTCAAAACTGGGTGAGAACCTGATTAGAATGCCATATGAAAGGTGAATTAATCCCCTAGATGGCGCAGATGTCAATATATTTGAAAACCCCGTATTTATAGTCCGATATGGTTCATATGTAGAATGTATATTGCATACATGAAATGAATAACTCCACAAAAGAATTTGCCCAATAGGTGGCGCATGAGTCGAGACGTTTGGAAAAACCGTATTTATGGTTCGATTTGAATCATATTTAAAATATGTGTATTATTAATTAAGTGGAAAGAAATAAATCCATAAAAAATTTGGCCTTTATGTGATGCGGGATAGATTTTTTTAACCACTAATAAAAGCTGGTCTTAAAATTTTTTATTTTTTTTAATTACTTTTTTGTGTATATAAAAATTCGTAAGATTGTATGAGTGTAAATATGTAGGATCATAAATCAAATCAACAGTCAGTAAAGTAATTTTAAGTAAACGCACAATACATCGTCAAGCAGAAATAAGTAATAAATTCAAAATAGTTTTAACTTATCTATTAAAACAAATGGCTTCGGCCAATGGTATCACAACGGGCTTTTCCAGCCCACGTGTGCTCCGCGCTCTGCGCGGGGCTGCCACTCCAACCTAACCTAACCTAACCGATCTATTAAAAAAAAATATATCAACAATGTTAAGATAACTGCATTAATGCTACAAGAAGACATTACAAAAGCAAAAATGTTAAAGTATGGAGTTAAGGTTGGAGCAGGATAACGCCAGAAGACTAAATATTACTGAGTAATTGCAAAATAATTTTGATTAAATAGCCAATAGTAGCGATAAAAGAAATATATAAATAAATAATAGGCGCACTCAAGGGGGGTTTTGGGGTTAAAGCCCCCCTAAATGTTTTTAAACACAAAGTAACGCAAAAAAAACATTTCCGTGAGAACAGTTTGAACGGAAACGAAATGAGAGCAACAGGTTCGGAAACGTTTCTGTAAAGAACAAAATACGAACAATACTCATGGGAACGTTATCAAGAAGAACATAACTAGAACGAAACTTTCGGTAACGTTTTCAATGAGAACGAAAGTCTCCAGGAGGATCAAATAAGAACAAAAGTCTGGGGAACGTTCTGCCGAAGAAAAAATCCAGAACAAAATTTTAAGAACTTAACGTTAAGAATGAGAGGGGCGTCTGCGTGTTAGGATGAAAAATCGCTTCAGTGAGAACCACGGATGTTCATTCTAAGCCAGAGGAAACTGGATCATATCAACCTCCAGATCGTTTATCATTGGCGGCATTGTCCACTTATAGAATAATTTTTCATTTTTTGTGCAAGAAAAGTTCGTGTCTTAAGTCTTTCGTTGACTTAATTTGCACAATTGAATTTTTACTTTAATTTTAATATTCAAACATTTCAAACTATTGGAACGCTATGAGAAAATATTGTTCTCGCTTCCACTCTTCGCGCATAGTTCAGAAAAAAAATTGTTTCCGTTCGTTCTCTGTCAGAAATTTCCTGAGAATTTAGTTCCCAAATGTTTCTTCGAGAGAAAAATCCTTAGACTTTTGTTCCCGTTTTTTTATTATTTTAGAAATATTGCCCAAAGTATTGTGCGCATTTTGTTCTCCTTGGGAACATTCCACAGGGTTTTTTTCTTACATAATTCCCGTTGAGAACGTTCTCGCCACTTTTATTCTCACTTTCGATCTTCTGTAAACATTTCCGAAGATTTTGTTCTCATTTCGGTTTGAGTTTATAAGCGTTCTTGGGAACAAAACTACGAGAACCACATTTCTTTTCGATCACACCTTCTGTTCTCGGTCCGTGTTTTCAATTGCTGTTTTTTGTTTTCAACAATTTATTGAAGTCCGGAATTTCTGGAGGCAGTCTACCAACTTTAATGGCTGGAACAAAATCCTTATTTTTAGAGACTAATCTGTGCTCTTTTTGTCGAAGTCGATTGATGTATTAAATCCCCTTCAAAGAATTTTCTGGATGCGCCACTGAAATACATATGTAAATTGTATTACACATTAAACTAAAGTCGATTCTAAATTTTATTTACAGCCTTTTAACATAATTTTCCATGGGGTATCTGTCAAAAAAACTGCAACTAACTTTAGAATAGACTTTATTTTATTTATAACTATGGGCAAAAATTTAAGTTTAAGATTCCAACTTAGCCAATAATTGGTGCAAGTCAAGCGCTTATCAGCTCACCAATCATTGAAGCTCCAATGCAAAATGAAAAAATAAGTATTTTAAATACATATGTATATTAAAGAACATACATATGTACATATATGTATACCAAAATAAGTACATATGAAAATAAGTAATTATGTACGCGAATTCTATCACAATTAGAAAATTATTAAATGTAAGAAATTATAGCCTTCAAATTATGTATATTTTTAGCATTAGAAGTTTCACCACAAATAAGGCGCATATACATGCATACATACATATGTATATATGTACTATTATGTGTGTATGTAAGTAATATGTATTATATTATATTAATAAAGACAAAGCTAAAATAAATTCAAGTGATAAATTTAAATATTACAAAAGCGGACTTTCATTTTAAGCTGATCAACCATACTTTTATTTTGTGAATTTTTATGAAGGGAAGGCTTTTCGCAGCAAAGTCGATTGGCGGTATGCTGAGCATTTTTTCCAGCACAGCTGTTGAAGTGGTTTTTACATATCTAGTACATTGGGGACCCCCCAGAACTGAAACGTCTTATTTTAAAAGAGGAACGAACATACGCAGGTTGCTCCAAATATCCAATAGTAACGAACATATGTATGTATGTATAAAGCTGACAAGAGGAATATTATTCGGGTGTTCTAAAATATTTATTTCCAAATCAAACTTCCAAGCCTCAAAGCAAGCGGTGGCATTTAAAATTATTGGGCGGAAAATTCTAATATTTAGTTATCAAACTGCTATTTATCTTAATATATTTTTTTTTTATTTTAATTATTGGTTTATAAAAATATAGTATATTCTGTAACAAAAACCATATAATTCCAAGTGTCAATCTTTGTGGAACATTTAAAAAAAAAATCAACAAACTTTCCTAAAAATTCCGAGCTTTATAATTCGATTTTTTAGATAATTTTAGTGTAATAAAATGCAAGTTTGAAGTGACTACAAAATACCGTTGATTTTTGAAAATTCATTCTTGAGTACACAAGAAACCTGTTTTCTATAAATCAGAGGAGTATTGCAGAATACAAGTCGTCAACGTAGTTTGTAACACCGAGAACAAAATGAAGTAAAATGAAGCAAATACATCTAAAATGTGGCAAAATTCATCGGCTACCTTATATACTTATAAAAAGACAAATAACACTGTGGGCCATTTTCTGCTCGCCGACGAATTCGGTCCTCTAATCTCTTCGTAAATACTCGCATATTATTTGCATCACCTGAGCTAAGGAAAATACTTTTATTTCGAAATCACAGACAGGTACATAAACTGCGATGGCACTTCTCCATAGTATCCAACAAAATTATTCAAACTGTGGAAAATATGTAGTGTATCCCTTTATTCCCTGCACTTTTGCTCGCATTCTTCCATTGTACCGAAACGATTGTCGTTCCCTTCACAGCCGTTATAAACAAAAAGCAAACATTCATTTCTGCTGGCATCGTAGGTCCATGAGGGTATATAAGTAGCACACTCGATTAACCCATCACCGTTGGCTTTAGGCGGTTGACCGCAAATGTCTGTTCGAAGTGAAGAAAAATTAATTTTTGATAAATTGGAGACAAATTTTACGAACATAAAATACACTTTTTTCAAACTTACCATCTTTGAGGGCCCGCGTACAGACGATCAGCGCAAAAATAGCCGAAATTGCAATAAAGAATTTCATAACCAAAATTTTATTGCAATCAAATTGTTGCTTGCTTCAAGCTATTACGGAGACTGAATATGCTTCAACAACTGAAGTTTCTCGTAGTTGCCAATTTAAAGTTTTAGTCAATGCAAAATCGTATTTACTTGCGTATTTTTATTACTGTTTGTACACTTAGAGATGTGCTAAGTAATGTTATTTGTTAAGTTAAATATGTACATATCTATATGTACAAAAATATCACAAGCATTCCTGCATTAGGACGAGTCAGTCACTTTTTTATTTTTTTTATTTTTTTCTAAACTTGGAATTTTTTTGTAAGCGAATTCTAGACTGTCAGCATTCGCGAGTCTTAGGTTGCAATTTTTCGGCTCACACTTCCTCACTCACCCACATTGAGGGTGCTCTCCTATAAGTAATCGGCTTGCAGCGTTTCGGCGACTAAGTAATGATCTCTGTGCAGATTTTGACAATCTCCTAAATGTCCAAGTGCGCCCTTTAGCTGAGCCAACCACCAGCAATTAAATAATAACGTAAATATTGGTACTTGGTCGATTGGGATTAACTTGTCAAATAACGTTAAATTTATTTTTCATGCAAATATAGGTTCGAGTATTTTTTATGAAGTGTGAAGTAAAGTGTTTTGTGATATAATATTACTTTTTATTTTGTGAATTTGGTGCAAGGTCTAATAAAACAATTGCATGTACTATTAAAAAAAAAAACACACAAGATGTAAAGTTATACCTTGGGTTTATTAATGCAATATATGTATATATAAATACTTATTTCTTGCTTACAATGTTGGTAAAATGAAGGATGTAATTAAGTAACTTAACAACTTATTCAGAATTTTTATTGTAATAATTTAAATTGCAAATTCAATTTTGCGCTTTCCTTTTGCATATTCGTCGCATTTACCAAGAACTTCTGCTGCTGATTTTGGGAATGGTTTTTCGCTTTCCTTATTTTTCCATCGTTCCAACCACACTTTATACTCTCCTTCCAAATTGATACCGTCGATTTCTAAGAAAAGTTCGTATCGTTTTCCAAGCGATTTTAGGCGTTCGATAGCATTCTTTTTTTTCGTCAGGCGTATTATATTCCCCAATTTTAGATGGAAGTAATAAGTTCAAATCAAAAATGTTTAATGTCTCTTTCGGCAATCTTTCTCGGAGATCGAGCAAAATATTATCTAATAGCGGTATATCAGAAAGTTCCATTTGACATACATACATATATTCATAAACCCCAATTATGAATACTCCCAGGGAGTTTGTTCTCCGGGAATGGTTGTTTCTCCCGAGAAAGAAACCGTTCAGTAATTTACTCCCAGGAAGTAGCATTTTACCCGAAAATTTGGAAGGAGAAAATTCAAACTTCGCAAGAGCTGTTTGATACTTTTTTGACAGCTCAACTCCGCCATTTGATATAAAAAATCCGCAGGGAATTTTTATTCGTGATAGGAGGAAAGGGAAAAGAGAGAAAACTTCCAGGGAGTTCCTGTTCAGAATCGGCCTGATAGTATCTACATACCCATTGTTTTAATTTTTCACGTTGACGAAGAGTTTTACACGATTTCAATGGTTACGATTAAAGATTAAAATAAAAAAAAAAAACTTTAAAAATTTTTTTTTCAAATTTCTCATTTGAAGTAATATATTTTATTCAAAATTTTGTTTTTTCGAGCTCTGTATCCGCCACTATGAATATGCTATTATATACGCTACCGGTATACCGGGTGTATTGAAAAGCTCTACTAGGCAATTTGCGTATACCAATGTAATGCCTAGTCATGCCATTCGGCTAACTTAGAAACCCCATACACATACTTCGTTTATAGAAAACAGATACAGATCCGAATGAAAAATTCACTCCTTCTGCTATCAACAGTTCTTCTATCAATAATATGTGTGTGTGTCATTTTTTTGCTCATGCACGGTGGAAAAAGTCGGGCTGGGCCGTTATCGGTGCTCATCATAATTTTTTGCTAAAAGCTACCGACAACGACCGCCGTGACCTTGCCAGCACAGACGTCCGGCATCACTGTTGCAGACCGTCGTATAAGTCATCACCGACCCCGACGCCGCCCCCTCTGCCAACCTGCTAATCATCCGAAAGCCTTTATCTTCTTGTACATATGGTTGCCAGCCAGCTGGTATTTTAAAAGGTAGAGGAAGTGGGACTTGCTGGGAAGTATGGGTCACAGCGTTTTCGTCGCTGAAAAGTACAATTACCACAAGTTTAATAAAAACACCAAGTTAAGTATTGCATCACTTATTCGCATCCCACGGGGTTTAGGAAAAAAAAAGGCATTTATTTCGAAATCACAGACTGCCACATATACACACATAATTGAATAAAACCTCTCAACACCATCCACTCAGAGAGAGTTATTTATTCAAACTTAGAAACATACAATACAGTGTACTCCTCTATTCCTTGCATTTTTGTTCACACGCTTCCTTTGTACCGAAACGATTTTCATTGCCACCACAGCCGCCATAAACGAAACTATAACAATTATTAGCCTTGGCATCGTAGGTCCATGAGGGCACAAAGGCAGCACACTTGATTATGCCATTGCCATCAGCTTCGGGTGGTTGACCACAAATAGCTGTTCGGTGTGACGAAGGAACCAATTGAAGAGAGAAAAGAAATTTTGTAGAAAAATTTTACAATTATCGTTTGAAGTTCTCTCAAACTTACCATCCTTGAGCGCCTGTGTAGAGACGATCAACGCGAAAATTGTCAAAATTACAGCGAAGAATTTCATTTCAGTTTATATCTGCACTAAAAAATCTGGGCACAATTAAATTGTATTTCAAGTTAAACTTGCTTACTTTAAGCTTTGAGCGAGACTAAATTTATTTCGACAACTGATGCCTTTTGGTAGCCAATTTTAAGTTTTAGTTAATACGTAATCAAATGAACTTGTGTATATTTTTATTGCTATTTGTACACTTAAAGATTTGTTTGCGAAATGTGATGAGAAAAAAACCCAGCGATTTGTTATGGTAATTATGTATGTATGTATATACACTAGGGTGGTCCAAAACAAGTAAAGTCGGAATTTTAATGCTCTCACCCCCTAGGATTATTCTATATCGAAAAAAAATATACGCCTATTTTTTTATTGTGAAATCAAAATATATAGAAATGGTATGGGATTATTGAAAATCAATATTTTTCGATCAGAAAACTGTGGCTCTCTTCAGGAGACTCCCAATAACAATACCCAATTGTTTATTTAACCTTTTTTTAATACCAAAAATTTTTTATTTTTTCCCTTATTGCATTTTCTGACCATTTCTGGGGGTTTTGGCGGACCTATAAAATATAGTTACTTTAAAAAAATTGTTAAATATATAATTGGGAATCTTCTGAAGAGAAACAGAGTTTTGCCGATCGAAAAATATTGATTTTGAAGAATTCTATGCCATTTCTACGAAAAGTGGTTTTTTCCCCATATAAAATACATGGAAAATTTTGAGCGCTTTGAGCGACCTCTAAGTATATATTGATTTCAAAATAACAAAAGGGGTCTATTTTTTTCGGTATAAAAATTCCTACTTTACTTCTTCACATGCATTTTTGGACCACCTTAATATACACACATTAGGGTAAGTCATTCTTGGGTGGGTATAATGAGTAAAAAGTTTTAAATGCTTTTCAAGAGGCTGCTCATGATCTGAATCCTATTAACCAATCCTACTAATATTATAAATGTCAAAATTTGTGAGTGAGTGTGAGTATGTTTCTTAATATTTTAAGCTTAAACAAATGGGTGTATTTTCATGAAATTTGGCACACAGAAAAGTTAGTATAAGATGGGTTAACATATGGATATTTTCTGAAAAGAGCTGCCATCTTTTTCAAAACTTAAAAACACTGAAATCATAAGTTAAATAAAATATTACAACAATGTGGGTTCCAAACGAAGGAGATTCAAAAACTATTAATTTCGAAAATACTTTGTAAGAGGCTGGCGGTGACAACCCTCTTAAAAATAAAAATCCATAAATTAGCAAGTTAAATCAAATATTTTTACATGGCTATCCAACAAAAGAGGTTTAAGAAAGCTTCATCTCTAAGACATTTTTGACGAGGGTTGTCACCTGTTTCAATTTAATTATCTAACAAGTTAACTAAATTATTTTATTATGTATGCCAAACGGGAGGTTTAAGTAAACTTTATTACTAAAATATTTTTGAAAAGGATTGCCACCTGCTCAAAAAGTTAAAATGCGTTGAAATGTGAATAAAAATAAGAACTGTCTTCCTGAAAAGTTATTTGACTACGTTCCAAAAGTACCTAAAATGGTGTGTTTGTACCGAATGTAATTTCAAACTAAATAAAGGTACGATTGTACCAACTTTTCCATCACTGTAGCTAATCGAGCAGTTGACTGTCCAATTGACTCAATTAAATTTCTGTCAGAACTTAATATTACATATTTACAGCAAATTATTTTATATTCATACATATAAAGGATATCTACGAAGATAAGTTGTTCTTCATACTGAATCCGCCGATTTAGTAAAGCTCTGGTACAAACGTTAAGCCGTATATAGCACGGGCAAAAGCTGGTCTTATACATAAAAGTCAGGGAACGTACCAAGTACTTTTCAAAACAAAATTTTAAT